TCTATATAACGGCTCGATCGCTTTCGCGTAATTTCGTTCTTCCTTGTCTCCGTGAGCTGCTTGCACCGCACGTTCGCGCTCGTTACGTTCGGCGGCTACGATTATTACGGGCGACGCGCAAAGCGTATGCGTTTAATGACTTCAATCGAAATGCGTTTAATTGGCCTCGAAAGTAGCCCTTCGGGATTATAGGAGAAAATCTTTTCTGCTATAATCCGAACGTGCGCGCGAGGGAAGACAGAAAAAGAAAGAGTGAGGGGGAGGGGTAGGGTGCCCGTCAAGGGCCTTTTTCCCGACGCATGTAGGTCAATACGCACGTGTCGGCTCTGCGGTTCGAAGGGTCACTACTTGTGGGTGGAAGTGACGTGTAATATTGATCGATTTATAGACTTTTAATCTCACCGGAGCGAGATCGGCCGTGTAAACGGGGTCATTATCGTGGCCGTTGCTATGCGTTATCCTCGCCGTCGTTATTCGAATTTATCGCAATGTGCGATCCTGTCATATGCAATACGCACATAAAAAAGTAACTGGTATCTAATTGGAATCTAGTTCGAGATTCTAGTTCGAGATTCCTCGAAATCTAGACAGATTCAACCCGCGTAGAAAATTTTTTTGGGATCCAATTGGAATCTTTGTCTTGATTTCTTCCAAAGAAATGATAGGTTCTGATTGGAAGATATACAAAAATTCGGATTAGAAGCGTAATATCTCAATAATACGAAGAGAAAACCCAAAAAGATTCCATTTTCTTCATCAAACGTTTCAATTTCTTTTCATGTAATTTGATATCTATGTATGTTGAACAAAATATTTGAAACGCTCTGAGAATTTACGCACAATTTACAAAGGTGAATATTTGAAAAGCGTAAATGCTTAAATCATTTCAAGTATTTTGCTCAATCCATTTTTTAATTTAGCATTGTGTTAAACAAAAAAATTCAGAAAATATTATGCAGAGTAAATGGAACCTTTTCCATTTACAAGTTTCTATGATACTATTGCTTCGATTCAAGACAAAAGATCCATGTGTGATAAGAACGGAACTTCCAAAATTAGTACTAGGTGCGCAACTAAATTTCCGGGTTTTTTGATTAATGAAAAATAGAAAATTTCAAAAGAAATACAAAAAATGATTTATTCAAAGTATCGTTCCTCGCTAGCTACACATTTTTGCCATCTCTTTGGCAATACATGAATACCGCGACGATAAAACGACGCGTCTTTGGACCGAAACCATTCATCCAACCAATTTTGCACTTCTTCGAAATTGGCCAAGTGTTGCTCAGCCAAGCCATGCGCCATCGACCGGAACAAGTGATAATCGGAAGGGGCCAAGTCTAGCGAATACGGCGGATGCGGTAGCAGATCCCATTTCAGCATTTTGATGGTGTCCTGGACGATAGAAATGCGATGGCACAGAGCGTTGTCGTACTGCAATATCAGTCGTTCGTATCTCGTGTCCCATTCTGGCCGTTTTCCGAGCAATGCATGGTTCAAATTGATCAGTTGTTGTCGGTAGCGACAACTGCCCATTAACAGTTTCTCCCGGCTTCAGCAGCTCATAGTACACGATTCCTTTCTGGTCCCATCAAACGCAGAGCATTGTCTTCTTTCCGAAGCGATTTGGCCGTGCCGTCGATGTTGATGCTTCGTCAGGTGAAAGTCACGATTTTTTGCGTTTGGGATTCTCGAAATATATCCACTTCTCATCGTCAGTAACAATTCGATGCAGGAGACTCTTTCTTGCATGCCGCAAAAGCAAAATTTCGGAAGTGGCTCTTCCATTTTCCATCTGTCTCTCAGTCAACTCATGCGGTACCCATTTTCTTTCTTTTTGAATTTTTCCCATGGCATGTAAACGTTTGGAAATACTTGGCGAGTCATGTTTAATGCCTCCGCAAGTTGATCTTGTGTTTGCATATCATCTTCATCCAATAACGGTTGCAGATCGGCGTCCTCAATTGTTTTTGGTCTCCTCAATTAGTCTTCCGGAGCGCTCCTTGTCCTCAATGTCGAAATCGGCACTTCTGAAGCGTTTAAACCAATCTTCGATTGTGCATGTTCGCCGTAGGCCTCCTCAAGCAAACGACGTGCTTCAGCTGCACTTTTTTTCAAGTTAAAGCAGAAAAGCAAAGCTTCCCGCAAATGCTGTTTATTTGGCACAAAACTCGACATCTTCGTTGTTAGAAAAAATATTTTTGCGTTGCAATATGTGTTGATATTACGACTGGTTATTGTTAACAGATTCAAGCTATAAAAAAAACACAACTTCAGACATGTATGTCGACTACATGTGTCGTTAGCGCCATCTATGTGTGAAACCCGGAAACTTAGTTGCGCACCTAATATCATAGTTATCACGGGTATGCAAAAGTTTCCATCGTTCACGTACAGATGACATTGTGAATTATTTAGATGAAAGTGGCGATGCATTTTTGTTAGATTATGTCAATATTGATCAACCTGCATAAAAACTGATACATAATAAGTCATATTCATTGACATAAACAATTTTAATTCATATGAAGATGGAAATCAATAAGACGCATATTTGTCATTCTATGCTTTTTTTATTTCATCAGCGTAAAACAGCTGCCGAAGTAAACAGAATTATTTGCATAACTTGTGATGAGGGAAAGATAGCTGAAAGTTCATATTGTGAGTGGTTTCGGCGGTTTAACCCTTTGAAGTATACATTTTTCTCTACGCACAATTTTCGCCGAACTGCCCTATAAAAGGTTTTTTAATTCGCTAAATCTGAGGTCGGAAATTAGAATTTTTCAAAATGTAAGATAGCGGATCGAAATGTTCACTATTAGATTAATCAAATTGTGTATCCGAAAGTTCTTGGGCTCACTGATTACGAATCTGAAGTCGAAATCGAGAAATTCAAGATGGCGGAACCAATATGGCGGATCAAATTGTGAAAATTAGACCGATTCACATCAAATTGGGTATCAGAAGATTTCTGGGTCCACAGTTTGATCCACCATATTGAGTCCACCATCTTGAATTTTGAAAAACTTATAATTCTGACCTCATATTCGTAATCAGCGGTCTCGAAAACCCCCGGAGAACGAATTTGAGGACATATCAGGGCGAAATCCTTACGATAGAATTTAGAGATAAAATTAGAGTTACGATAGAATTTATGCAATCTATGTTTTTATCAAAATTGGAACCGCCATATTAGTACAAGTTTTGAGAATTTTGAAATTTCGACTTCATTTTCGGAATCAACGATGTCTAAAACCTTAGGGTACATACTATCAGAAAAATAAAAAGTGAAGAAATATTTTTTTATTCAGTTCGAGGAGGTGTGATTTATATGCTATACCATGCTTCAAAGGGTTAAAAGACGATTTTGACTTGAAAGACAAAGAGCGTGCCGAGCGACCACAAGAAATGAGGTCGGATAACTTGCAAGAAGATTCGACTCAATCGAATGTAGAACTTGTGAAAAGATTACATGTTAACCAGAGCACTGTAATTCGACGCTTGCATGTGAGATGGGGAAAATTCTAAAGAAAAAAAATGGGTTCTCCATGAATTATCCGAGAACGCTATCGCTAGCCGAGTTACCATTTGCTTTTCGTTGTTCAATAAACGCAAACACAAGTCTTTTTTATATCGAATTATGACCGGAGACCAAAAATGGATTCATTATGATAATCCCAATCGCAAAAGGTCGTAAGTAAATTCCGGAGAACCCTCTATGTCACAGCCAAAACGAAACATCCATGGTCATAAAGTCTTTCTGGTAGAACATGCAAAGAGTGCTGTATTATGAGCTGTTGAAACAGCCATCTCAGACTATCATTGCAGAATTATCAGTTGATAATTGGGGCAGTTGAATGAGCAATTGATCGAGAAGCGGCTATATTTTGCAACAAAGCAAAACAAAGTGATTCTTCTACACAACAATGTCAGGCCCCATGTTATATTGATGGTTCGGGAAACCGGTTGGTTCGGTTCGAACCGATGGTTCGATTAATGGAATTGCAATGGGAAGATCTACTACACCCGATATATTTTCCAGATATTGCTCCATCGGATTTTCATTTATTTCATTCTATGCAGCACAGTCTTTCTGGCACGCAATTTCGCAATGTTGAGGAAGTGCAACAATTCATCGGTAACTCCATTCATTCGAAGAGAACAAAGACATTTTTTATCGTGATATCCATCCTTTGCCTGAAAGATGGAAAAAGGTAGTAGATAATGCCGAACACTATTTTGATTAAAAATATTGTTATTTATAATAATATCCACCAAAAACATTACTTTAAAGTGAAAACTTTTGCACACCCCTAATAGTAATTGGTAATTGGATAATTAAGACAAGGATTGGAACCGTAATCGGATAACCAATTATGAAACAAATTTGGGAATTCTAATAGGAATTTACACGATGACTGGGAAAATCCTGAAAAATTCCTACGCGGGCGTGCCCCGTTCTACATATCTCTCTGGCATATCGCGTGCGAGTAGATGCGATAGTGGCGCAGAGAAATTCGATTCCCACCGGGGAGATAACGTGGGACAAAAAAAATAGGCGGGCACCGGTACAGCGAAGGAGATTGATTCATTAATTCCAGAAGAGTCGTGTTGAAAAAAAGAGAAATAAAAAGAAAGAAAATAACCGGCATCTGTTGAACGGACAAAAAATCTTTCCCCCGTTTATCTCCGTTTCGCCGTTTGAGCATTTTAACGTGAGTGCGATTACTGTGCGATAAATTCGGAATTACCATCCCGCAATGTCGTGCGCGTCCAAATGGCTTACGGGAGCGAAAGGGACAGTTTATAGGTTCGATAATCCGTACAAATCCTGCGTGCGCGGGCTACACACACGTCGGTGTTGCGTATTTACATTTCTAGGAATATACGAGTCCATTAATACTCGATTGCCGTTCCGTTGGACACTGAGTATCGACCGGCATGTCCGCCACGGTGCAAAGATTAGCTTGTGAGAATAATTATATCGCGAATGTACTTACCGGCCCCGAATATTGAGCGCTGGGAATGGTCGTTTCGGGCGGCGCGAATGCCGGAGTGCCGGCGGCCCCTGACAATAATTCACCGGGTGCCCTTAATTCCGCGCTGACGCCCAAATCGGCGATTTTGATGCGGCCATCGTTGTCCACCAGCAGATTGCTCGGCTTTATGTCGCGGTGCACTATCCTCTGGTAATGCACTGTGCAAACAACATAGTGCATACGAGTCTCAGCACGCAATTCAATTCCGCCGACTATGCTATTTTTTATCCGGAACTTAATCTCCGGAGAGACATGAATTCTTCGACGGATTAAATTCCGATTATAAAATGTAGAAAAAGAGAGAGAGAAAGAGAGAGAGAGAGAGAGGGGGGGGTAGGGAGAGGGAGAGGGAAAGGGAGAGGGAGAGAGAGAGAGGGGGAGAGAGAGAGAGAGAGAGAGAGAGAGAGAGAGAGAGAGAGAGAGAGAGAGAAATAGAGAAAAATTGAGCGAAGACTCTAGATTCTAAATCGATTGTTGTTTAGGTACAGTGCCATGAGCTGGGGTGTCGGGGAGGGAATACTGACGTAGTTCCCCCGACTCCTCACTTCGACCCGGCTGGTAGGCACCCGGGAGGGTTTTAGCCGGTAAGAGTTCGACATAACCCCACCCTCCCCCGAACGGGGGTGGGATATCTATGAGGGTTTCCCCCCCGTTAACAAAAAAAAGGTGCAGGCCCATGATTAGCTCTGTAGCGCGTTGAATAGTCTTTGGACAGAGATGTAGATTATTATTATTATTATACGAAATTCATTAATGCGATTTGCGTGACATATGCGATGCCACTTTTCTCATCGATTTGCGATAAGCGCCGTGATCCGTAATAGGCGCTAAGTACGTTACGCAAATCCGTCTGTTGAGGGTGGTAGCATATCGTTATTAGCGCTTAAGTGATAAACACGATTGTACACGCGAAACGCGATCCATGTTTCGATTATGATGTACGTTTCCATTGGGATATGCTCGAAACTTTCGACCCTCCTTCAATCGCAGAAACTTGTTTGCGAGCGGCAAACGAACTTTGGAAGGAAATAAAAATATCTCAGGAGTCACACACACACGATGTTACATGTACAAGATGTTTAAAAAAAAAGGTCAGTATTTTATATTCTCTGATGTAATTTGTCTATGTATTTATCGGCAAAGAGTACCATGCTTTAAAGAAATGTTTTCATTATTATTGGGAATGTAAACAAACTTCTATTTTCTTTCCATTTATATATTTATATATACGTTTCACCAAGTAATTTTTAATCACATATTCTCATGAACAATGACCTATTGCAAATAACTATTATTAAAGTTTTCACAGTATGATAAGAATGACATCATATTAAGATTTAATTAAGAAATGCATTACATTTCTTTTTAAATGTATGGTAGTGCACCAAAAGCGAATAAGTTACTTGCTTTGATTAAAATAAATAATTGTTTATAACTTCGACAATATTAACCTTTTGACCCATATTTATTAGAACTTTTTTCCTCCATTTTGTGAATATTGCCCTGAACTCTTTTTTTAAATACCCTGTACAGTTAAAAATATTTCGTACTTTTGTTAAAATTATTTATGTATAGAAAGTTTTGTGTTAAATTTTTTACACAGTCGTGTATTAATTTAACATATTGTTGTTGTGTTACTTAAACTTTCTGACGTTAAATTATATGTGTTACATTTTAACATATTTGCTGTACGTTAAATTAATACATAAATGAGAGTGGATGATTTGAGACGCATGAAATATGTTAAATTTAACACATCATTTCTTACAATGTATACATACATGTGCCATGTGCAAGAAAAGATTAACCATAGCGAGTAAGCTGAGACAATTGAAATAAAAATTACACGTAGCGCGTGAACGAAACAGACATTAGATGTTTAATTTCATAACAACCAAATGACACTTATTCTTTCAAGGAAAAAAGGCGAGAATATGGCAAAAAAACTGGTGAAAATATCTTTAAGAAATTACATGGTCATTGATAATATAATTTCTGAAAAATTGATATAAAAATTTCACAATTTTGTGATAGTGGATCTGTGACATATTTTTACAGAAGTGTGTTACAGAACACATATAGTTGCAGTCTTAGCCAAAAATATTTCAAGTTAAAACGTGAGAAATGATTATTATCCTTTTATTAGTGTTTAAATATTATGTAAATTTGTGATCGATTTTGTGGCACAGCGTCGGGATTCTTCGTGTTGCATTAATCTTTATCCTTTTAACAATAGCATCACGAGCCAACAATCTTAATGATCACAAATAATTACGAACAACGATCACGGTGAATTTCGAATACGAATCCAAAAGTATCATTCCAAAAATAAGAGACCCGTGAAATATTTTGAGAAAACTTGCCAAACATATCGTGACTTCATAAACTATATGAACTATACATTGAGAGAAAAAAAATATGTATATGGTTAATTTCACTCAAATTGTAGAGATTTTCGGTGCCTACCGCATTCTTTTCTGCTTTCTGCTTCTAACAAAAAAATAACAGTCGCGATGTGCACAGAAGAAAGAATTGTTACTATCAACACTGTAGCGCAGCAGCTACGACGAAAATGGTTTTCCTGACTATAATTATGTCACTAGGTGATTATAGTCTAGCAATCATAGAAAACCTTTTATTTGCTCAGCGTGTGAATGTAGGACACGAATAATGACTTACGGTATTCCACGCCCATGACAACGTCGCGGAAATTCCGTCTGGCCGTTTTCTCGTCCAGAGGTTCGTCGGTGGGTATCTGCAGGATTTCACCTCGCTGGAGTTCGAAGACCAAGTAAAGGTGGTCCTCCTCCGAGTCGTCAAGCACCTCGATCAGCTTCACGACGTTAGGGTGATCAACTTTCTTCAGCAAGGCGATCTCCTTGTAAACCCTTGCCAGCGGATTGGCCTTTTTGCCGGGCACAATCCTGCCGAATATTCCCGCCTTCTTCATCAGTCTTTTTTTGCTCAAGATTTTCATGGCGTAATGGGTGCCGTCCTCCTCGTTGTAGACCAGCTTCACGAGACCGTAGGTGCCCTGGGTGCAAGCGCGAGGTGACACATGAGTGAACGTGGCGGAAGGTAATTGACGCCCCGCGGTTCGATCGCGAACGACGCGGACTGAATTTTTCAGAAGTTCCCACGCACACCCTGAGTGGAATTCCCGATTACTCATGACTCGATTCAGCCTTTAATTCTTTAGAGACCTCCAACGTATTACTGTGTTGTTCGATAATTTTTCATACGATTCGATAACTCGATAATTAAATCTTTCATAATCGACGTTCTCGGTGAAAGCTGAAGTAATATTGATTTTATGCTTATAATAAACAGCGTATAATAATGGTTATTGTTGTTATTATTATTAAATGACCTATTCACTCGACCAGAAGGTAGTTTGCACACATTTTTCCCAATAAAGTTGCAGCGCTCTAGATTGTCATGATCGAAAGACACTGTTGGGAAATTCTAAAGAAAGAAAAATGGATTCCCCATGAATTATCCGAGAACGCTATTGCCAGCCGAGTTACCATTTGCCTTCCGTTGTTCAATAGACGCAAATACAAGTCTTTTTTTGTATCAAATTATGATCGGAGACGAAAAATGGATTTATTATGATAATTCCAATCGCGAAAGATCGTGGGTAAATCTCGGGGAATCTTGTACGTCACAGCTGAAATGAAATATCCATAGTCATAAGGTCCTTCTTTGTATCTAGTGGGACATGCAAGGAGTGCTATATTATAAACTATTAAAATCATTTTAGACTATCACCGTGGGATTATATAGTCGACAATTGAAGCAGTTGAATAAGTAGTTGATCGATAAACAGCTATACTTTGCAACAAAGCAGAATAAAGAGATTCTTCTGTGCAACAATGCCAGGTCCCATATTACATTGACAACTCGGAAAACTTTAATAGAATTGCAATGGGAAGACTTACCACACCCGACATATTTTCCAGATATTCTCCCACCGGACTTTTATTTATTTCGTTCTATGCAACACAGTCTTTCTGGTACACAATTTTGCAATATCGACGGAGTGCAACAATTCATCAATAATTCCTATCCAATTCTAAGAGCAAAGACTTCTCTTATCGTGATATCCATTTTTTGCTTGAGTAATGGCAGAAAGTAGTAGATAGTGCCGAAAAATATTTTGAATAAAGATACTATGTCATTTATAATAATGTTAATAAAGAATATTGCTTTGAAAACGATGAAAACTTTTGCATACCCTTAATATTTACAGTCGGCTTGACAAGAACGTGTCCAGCAAAACTTTTACATGGAAATCGTTAGACGTAAATTTTAACAAGAGCTGGCAGAGGGATATTTCGCCTAACATACTTTGTAGAAAAAGTTTCAATTGTTGTTGTTGACCTTTGTGTCATATTTCGTCATGAGTGCCGCATATGTATTGCAATTCAAAGCTATATTTCTCTCTACACACCCAAAAGAACCAAAAATATCGCGCTAAGCGGTTGCTAAATATATGAGAAAGTCTAAGGCATTTGTAAATAAGTGGATGAATTGTTATTCAGAGATGAAAACGTGGCTCTACACAGAAAACGACGGATAAAGAAGACAAACTGATTCTATGGATGTTTGCGAATAATACTCATCTATTGTTGCGAAGTAAGCAAGCAGCATTGAAGAAATGTCTAAATATATCATGTGACATAATAAGAAGACATCTACATGCTCATAATGTGAAATATCGAAGCACATTGAAGAAATTTCTATTGACCAAGAAATATGTCGAGAAAGGAATTGCTCAGGCACAAGAAAATATGGACTGAGATTGGGGCAATGTAATTTTTTGCGACAAAATTTCCTTTTAGGTAGATACTTCTATCACTCGAACCTGGTGCATCCCCATTAATAAACTCGTCCAGCGGACCGTTAAACATTTGATAAAAATGTACGTTTGGAGCTGCTTTTCGAAGCGAGGATTTGGCACTTTGCATATCTTCACAGGCAATTTACACGCTACTAAAATGGTCAAAATTGATAAGAAGACTTTATTACCATTTGCTTAAAAGCAGTTTATTATATTTAAGGAGAAACGAAAAATAAATACCAAAAAAGGATAATCAAAGTCGTCTTTGTACCGCATAGAAACAAGAAAATGACGTTGAATTATTGGATTGGCCGTCACAGATACCGAATGCATATCCGATTGAAGACATTTGGTCCTGGATGAAGCTTAAGCTTTAAGGAAAGAAAATTTAAAAGATCAAGGAGTTAGTTCGACAAATTAGATTGATCTGAAGATCTTTACCCCCAGAATATGCCATAAAATTAGTCAAAAATATACTTCGGAGATTATCGATAATGAAGGCGACTGGACAAGTTATTAATAATAAAGCATCACAGTTCTAATTAAGTAATATGTGCGTATTTTGTCCCAATAAATGTTCATTACAATAAATTGTTTGTCGAGTTCTGCCGGATGATTTTATCAAACAAATTGTACGTTTCTTCTGAGTCTTCTATTGCAACGTCAAATGTCTTGGTGCTGCAGAGGTGGATTACAGGGTGTTTGGTAACTTATGTAATCATAATTAAGGCTGATAATTAATTAGAACTGATTAAAATAATCATAAAAATCCTATACTGTTTTTGTAATAATTATCGAGCTATTAATTATAGAAATCTAACGACTGAGCGTGCGCCAAGATAAATGATTGGAGGAACATTACAGCCGCTCAAGTTATAGCATGGCCCAGTTGATTCAGCAACTGTTACCGACACGCAGCGAGACGTAGAAGCAACGAAATAAGACTATCACATAACCGAATAGCGACGCATTATCCTTTCCCTCGCCACGCACCGGCAACAGTTGTCAGATCGACTGGGCCACGCTATTGCCCGAGTGGCTGTAATGCTTTTCCAATCATTCATCTTGTCGCGCGCTTATTCGTCAGATTTATATATCAGGCTAGAAAATTATACTGTTTTTTTCTATGTAAATTAAAAGCGTTTTTTTTATACAAAGCGAAAACTTTATTCTGTCATATATTATCCGTTTAATTCAATGACCTTTTGCTATCTGTTTGGTAGCTTCATGATTCCGGCCTCATGGAACTTCTGATTCTTATCGGCGAAAAATTGATCCAAGTACCGTTTGATAGCCTCATCAGAATCGAATTTTTTTCCTTTCAAGGAAATTCGCAAGGAACGAAATAAATGGTAATTTGACGATGCAAGGTGTCAGCCGAATATGATGGGTGTGGTAACACATCCCACTCAAGCTGCAACAATTTCTGACGGGTGACCAAACTGGCGAGGATGTATATGATTTAGCGTTGTCATGCTGAAAGGCAACATCTTTACGATTCATCAGTTCTGGGCGCTCCTGCATGATTACTTCGTATAATTTGTCCAATTGACGATAGTACAATTCCGAATCAATCATTTGATTACATTTAAGCAGTTTAAAAAACACAATACCCTTCAAACCCATGAAACAGATAGCAAAATTTTCCTTTGGTGAATATCTGTTTTAGAAGTGCTTTGTGGCTCATCACATTTGCTTCACGATCTTTTTTGTTCCACATTGTCGTAAACAATCTATGTTTTATCGCCAGTTAACATTCGTTCCAGAAACATATCGTTTTGCTCACGTTTTAGGAAAAAATCGCTGATATTGATGCGTTTGGTGAGATGAATTTCTTTGAGCTCATGTGGAACCCAAATATAATCGAGTTTGTTGACGTACCCAAGTTGATTTAAATGGTTTTCAATGGTTGTGATACGTTTAGCTTCTCAGCGATCTCCCGTGTCGTATAATGGCGATTGGATTCAAGCAATGCTTTTATTTTGTCGTCATCGACCTCAATTCACCGGCCTGACCGAAAACGAGTACTCCAACGCCGACACTGGCATTTTTTTAAGGATTCCTCATTATATATAGCACATAACTTTTGATGAGCTTGCACAACGTTCTTTCCTTTCCAGAAGTTAAAAAGTAAAATATGGCGGAAACGTTTGTTTTGATTTTCCATTTTTAATTCAATGCCAAATAAACAATTCTTTACTGAATGACGTACTTTTTTCTAAAGAAAGCTTGAAATGTCAACTGTCAAATGATATAAAGGTTATAAGATTTGAAGTGAAGTTAGTTGCGTTTAATGACAAGTAAAACCATCTATCCGTAAAAACGATATTATTGCCAAACTGATAATTAATAACTCGATAAATATTGCGAATATCGCAAAATGGTATAAGACTTTCATGTTTGTTTTAATCAATTTTATGCTTCTATTGGCTACATGAGTTAACAAACATCTTGTATATTGTCACTTCGGTTTCTGTTATAACGAATAGGCTTGAGAATAGCGGTTCGCAATGGTAACCATTTGATGCGTTGCTAACTTCATCAGCAAAATATGCTCAAACTGTTTCGCGAATTCCAGTGAAATGTTTTAATCTCGGGTATTAGATTTATCAAATAAAGAATCAATTCGTGCTGATATTTTGCGGGTGTAATCGTAATTTTCGATCTGATATTGCAAAGTGATTCTATTAGGTGTACAAATGAATAATCCAAATTATTTTAAGCAGTTATAAAATCAATTTTAAATTAAATAGATTTTCCCGCTCTTTTGTAATTATGCAATGTTGACATGTAGCTATTAAAAAGAACATATAGTTTGGCGAAAGGCCCAACATAACCTTCAAAAATATTCAGTTCAGTATAGTTGAAAATGGCAACAGATAAGGTGCATATCCGACATTGCATTCTTTACGAATTCCAACAAGGAAAAAATGCTGTAAGAGCGTGCGAATCAATTTGTTCCTTTCTCGGCGAAGGTGTTGTATCGTACGATGTGCGCGCACTTTGGTTTAAGCGGTTTAAAAGCGGTAATTTCAGTCTAATCGACAAACAACGCCATGGAGGCCCTCCGAAGTGCGATAATGATAATTTGTAACAACTGCTTGCTGAGAATTCGGCACAAACACAAAAAGAGCTTGTAGAACAGTTGGGAGTAACGCAGCAAACGATTTCTAAACGCCTACATGAGATGG